ATAACTACCAGAAGAGAGACACGCACAGCTATCACGGCTGACCTTTTCACAAGGATGAAACACGCTACATGCGACTGCTGACTTACAGCCAGGCTATTTCAGAACTTACCCACATTGCCTTCTCTTTCAGGATACACAGTAAGCAAAATAATAGGAGCAATGTTCAATCTTGCCATCACACACTGTAACGAGGCTTCGGCAAATCTGCGCTGCCTCGTGCAGTTTCACCTCATACCTAATCTCTCATGTCTGACTCGTGCACAGGCGTTGCTTGCTCCAAGGCAAGAACTTGTAGTGACCCTTACAATTTAGTTTGCTTAATTTGTTCCCATTTACAATGTAGTTGCACTTGCTTCTAAGCACTTTAGAGTTTATCTGTTTGGTGGAAAAAAGAAATGGATTGGCCCCGGCTAGCTCTGAGAAACCCTGTTTGCCAGGGAAATGCTGCTGTACGTGAGGACACCCGGGGCGTTTCTGCTGGACTTTCCCATCCTGACTGCCCCTCTCGTCCCCTCCTAGCCAAAGGAGGGATCAAAAAAGCTCTCAGATCATATGCACAGAACATAAAATAAGATGCTCTCATAGACATAACTCCGTAAGTGCAAGCCTCTGTGCAAAGGACGGGCCATGCACAAGAGTCTGGAGGCCAACATGCCCGTGGAGTTTGGGAGATGCCACAGCAGCATCTATGGCCTCAATATGGCCAGAGTGCTGGGGAGAATCCCCAGGAAGCCTCTTTCCCAAGAATATCTGTTCCTCTGCACAGATAGATATGGTATTCCAGGCAGCTGATTAGAAAATGCCTCACAGCTATTCATTATTTGCATCTGGATATATCAGCATGAGACCATTTTTAAAAATAAAACCTATTTAATCTGTGTGTGTGAGCATGTATGTGCATACACACATACACCTACATGCATTTTTATTTTTAAAGGAAAAAAATATAGAATTTATTCTGAAACGGCCCCTTGTGAAAAGTTTTAACCACTAAAAGCAGTTCCTGTTGATGTCCATATGTCTGAGCTTTAAGATGACATTCTCCATACATTTTTATCTCGATTATTACGAATACTTTTCTTATTGCATGATTAAATCTTTTCATACTGATATTTATGTCAGATCACAAAAGACAAGTAAGTGTAAATTAGATTTTAACTCTTTCAGGACAGATTGTCTTTTACCTTTCATTTATATACTTATATACTGCAGAACACTTAGTTTGTAATATTAGCAGTAGCCTAACATTAAAAACAATAATAAAAGAAAGAAAATGATTATGAATATATTCCACAATTTGACTCAAATTAGGAAAAAATTATGGAAAAAGCAGCAAGTCTGACTAAAGGCAGTGTGCATCATGAGAAAAGAATGATATTATTTGCCAATAATACACATGATATTCAATGATACACTCTTTACACAGGTGCTTTAGAAGAGGAACTGGGATGAAAACAAATACTTGGCGAAATAACAAGTCCTTTGTGTAAGGATAAGCTCTATGAATACAACAACAGAGTGGTTTACATCGAGAGAGAATGTATCTGTGAAGATGCCTTCTTAGGCCAGTCTTGCACTCTTCTTGATTTAAGGTCCCTCCTGCCCATTGCATCCTGCCTCCAGATCCCCCTCTTACCCCCCTCGTTTCGGAGGCCCTGCCTTGGAGCCAGGCTGCAAACCACGACACTAACGCGCCGATCACTGACCACACGCAGGGCGAGTAGAGGAAACAGCCGCAAGCAAAACACCACAACCCAACAGGGGAGAAGACGGGAGGAGAGGTGAGTCAGGAGCACGAGCAAAACAGCACATGTTTCCCCTCCGCTGTACTCCAAACGGCTGAATCATTGTGTTTTTTTCCAAACAATGCAGCTTGAGACACCAGGCATGGAAAATTTCATCGCGAGTGATTCAAATCTGGCAAAAAAATATAAGCAAGTGCGAGCAAACACGGTTGTTTCACTGCCAACACAGTGGAACAACCTCACCTGCAATGGAAGGGGATCATCACTGCTCCTATTGGCATGTAAGTGTATAAGCCTAAACCATATAAGCACGTTAAGGGCCTATGGTGATCGAGGATAGCAGAGATCCATAGCAAGCACATCCTATAGATAAAGCTGTCTCAGGTGCAGCTCTGCCTTTAAACGCTGTCACTAAATGCAACCTCAGGATAGTTCTTCTATATACTTGAACACTTACGTTTTAAGCATGCTGATTAATTACTGTATCTACTAGCTTTAAGCCTCAAGGTGCTCATAGCTCATATGGGAACGTATCAATTATTCATATAGAGCCTCTATTTATTTAAAAAAAAAGAAAAATATGACAAATAAGATGTATTTTTCATCTGAATTTGCACAAGAGATTTTCAGTAAGTTACAAACACTGCAAAATTCTAAGTTTCCTGAATTACTGGATTAATATTTCCCAGATAGGGAAGAAATTATTTCAAATTAATGCAGTAAAACACAAGGTGTGGGGAAAGCTAAGTAGTAAAGGCTTTTAGCAGGACATCGTGGATCTTCTGAAAGGGCTTCTTAGGACATTTTTTGTTCATCTCTGTTGATGCTACAAAGTCAAGAGACAAGCTTCCACTCCTATTTTTAGTAACAAAATAGAAATTGCAACAGAAAAAAAATAATCTAAAACACACTGGGAACTTAAAAGCAAAGTTATAGCTGGAACTAAAGCCACATTTGCATAGGGCATTTTATGAGAGCTGTGATTAAGCTGCCGTATGGCGGCAGCAAACACGCGTTTCAGCCAGCTCTGCAATAGCATCAGGCTAGTCCTCCTGGCAGAGATGACAAGAGTATGTGCAAGAAGGTCAGTGACATGAATGAAAGCACTGACCTGCCCTGATTATAGCTACTTCAGAAAAACTGGCAGAGCACAATTTCTCTTACAAACAGTACATTATTAGCTAGCACTTCCAGCTCTGTATGGCTGATGTTTTTTTCCCATCTGTTAGCACAGAATAACTAGCAGGCAAAATACTTTGATTACATGCCCACCTTGGGATGGAGTGATTAATAAATCGTATTGGCAGTACAGGATAATGAGCTGGTACAGGTTTTATCTTAACCGGCAGCCAGCTTACTACAGAAATGCAGGTACACAGAGAAGGTTTCATATTTATATCGAGGACAGTGATGCAGCAATTGTGCTAACCTACCAGGAACATAAAAGGGAAGGACAAAATGCGATGATCTACTCCATGCCCATACAAGCATTAACACTCATCAGAAAAAAAAAAGCATTTGCAGAGATGTTTCCTGAGCCATATTCTGTTATTGTGGAGTATTTTCCATCAGCAAAATCTGTTATGGTCTCCAGTCCCAGGCAGACTTTAGGCTATATACAGCATCACCTATATCAATATTGATTACTGACTTAATAGAGCCCAATAATTGGTCAGGATGAAACATCTCTCTTCAAAGACAGCCAAGCAAAAGCTTATAAACTTAATCGGAAACACTGCAAACAGTGAGCATTATTCTTTAGGCTGGACTTGGCACAAAGTACTTGCTTTTCTTTCAGAAAAATAAAACTGCATTCACTGGACAATAAACCTGGATGCAAAATGAAACTTTGGTCCCCATTTATATTAAAATAAAATTTTAGCAGAACTTGAAACCCACAGAATTTTTTTTTCCATGTTTGGATACTTTTGACTTTACAAAAAGCTGAGATTCTACATCATGAGATTTATAAGCAGCAATTTTGAAAAAATGATTCATTCAGATTTCTGAAAAAAAGAACATAATGGTTGTTACTCAAAGGAATCGATGGCGCAGCTACTGCAGTCCTCATTATGTACATATGAGATGCTTCGATGTTCCTTGCTGCTGATTACATGAGTAAATACTTTTAGTTTGCAAAATCCTATTAAGTCAAGGGGATTTTGCATAATTTTATAACAGCTCCATTTTTGTGGTGTCTGATCGACTAGGTCAGCAAAATAAAGACAGATGGCGAAGAATTAATTCTAAGGCTGCTTTCTGCAGTGCAGCCATTACAGCTTTCTCTACTCACTGCATTTGTAAAAACTAGAACTTTTCCTACATTCCCTATGCTTAAAAGACTCCACATAATAAAAAGATTGAGAGGCTGCTTTAAGTATGTCAATCCAGAAAGCAAACGCAACCTAATTTGTCAATACTAGGAGGAGGAGAGCCACAGCTGTAACTGCAAACATTAGCAGTGTTAAAATACAATAGATGATAACGAAGAGAAAGTCTTTATCCCATCGTGGCAGGACCCAGGCCACTGGTAAGTGCATGTCCAGATCTAAATCGTTCTCCAGATATCTTTTCTGCTACCTCTGCTTACTTCCTACCTTGCTTTTATTTGGTTTGGGCTGGCCATCCTTCACTTCAAAAGGCCTTAAAACCATCAGCAATATCTGCTACAAAGATTTTCTTTTTTGTTTTTTATTCATTTATTATTCAGTTTTCCACATATCAATCCCAAATCAAAAGCGGAACCACCAAGAATAAAAAAAGGTAATTCTTCAGTGACTATATGAGAACCTATCCATCTAATCAATCCAATCTCTTTTTCATTTTTTAATCAATCAGTTTTCAGAGTCATTAAATATTAGTTTGTCTCAATTATTATTTCATTCTCCGTAAGTCTAATGCACAGAAATAAATATTACCTAATACTTAGCAAATCTGTGCTTAGTATATTTAGACGGCAAACTATTAGCAGTCTGAAAGTGGTATCTAAAATCACATTACTAATGCATTGTTTTCTTAACTGTGGGAAATGGTTCCAAGAGAAAACAATGAATTTTGCCTGCAATTTGCAGACAGAACTCAACTCCTCGGAGTCACAACTTTTGCCCAGAAAACCTCCAAAATACAGACTTAATGAAATTGATTTAAAATTATTTATCTAGGTTTTCTGAAGAGCCTGAAATGCAGAGATGTTATCTACCCATAAAGTTTGAGGAATAAACTCAGGGACCCACATGGACCTGGCTCATATTTTACCTGAAATGGAGACTGACTGTTATAATTCTTAATCTCCTTGTTGGCTCCTCGGAACAGCAGCACTCTTGCACAGCTCTCCTGAAAATTGTAGAAGAGTAAACTGGTTAATTATTTCAAGAATCTGTTTGATTTTATTCTACATTTAACAAATCCAAGTTTGCAGAAAATATGTTAGTTTAAAACGGAACCTGATGCTTATGTGGCTCTCTGCAGAGAAATTAGTAGTGCTTAAGGTGAAATAAACAGTACCCACAATGAATGAGACTGTAAGCCTACTGCTAAAAACCAAGTAAAAGAGTTTTACCATTTATATCCACTTTTTCTGATTTTTTTTTCCAACTATCTTCAACACAAAGATTTAACATATGCAACTTTGATTCTTTGTCTTTTTTTTTTTTTTTAAGAAAAAATTGCCTAAAAATAATTGGGCTAGCTATACATATTGTACTGACAAATCTTGACTTCTCTCATCCTTAAGAAATATTAAAGCTGGCAGCTCAAATTCAATATAGCTTTATTTCTTCTGGTGACAAGAAAAAGAGTGTGAGTTCAAGTTTTCTGAACTGATAAAATCTGTAAGTGAAATCCCATAAGATAATTTCTTTTTGGGTTGATAACTTGTATTGCTTAAGTTACTAGTGCAGTTGTAAAGTACAGTTGACTGATCTGCTGGAGATGATCTCTAGTTCTAGAATATTTCTCAGAATACTAGACTTTCTCATGATCCACATATAGCACTGTATTTCCTATATGTCTCCTTTAATGTTCACCTTAGAATCTTAGGCAGAACAGTTCATATTTCAAAGTATTTATTTCCTTTTTATAAAGTTTTATTAATTTTGTTGCGCTTTTCCAATTTCTATTCACATTATAGAGTTCCAGTAAATAAGATATTTTACTGTGCTACTTTTCATTTCTAGTGGTAAACGCACAGCCAGAGAAAATAATCATACATTTTAATCGTTTTAGTGATATAAATAAAACATATTTGCCACACTGACTAATAAGTGAAAATGCAGAGATTATCTTCAAAAATAATTTTCCTTATTGTGTTTTCCAGTTTATCAGGCCAGATTCTTAATCCCATTAAGTGTCCTTATCACAGGTTTTCCTAAATACATGTGGAAAGGAGACCAAAGACTCAATTCTCCAAAAAGATGCCTCTGTCCGCCCACTTCCTATTTCGCATTACTGACTAAAACAACAGAACAGGTCATATCTCAAGACAGGATATTAAGAATCATCACAAATGCAGTAATTTTTAATGACATACAATTCACTGATGTGTAAAAGGTCATAATGTTTTTCTAAATTTGTTGCGTTCTTTAGTAGTTATCATTCAAAAGGAGAAGTAAATATGCTGCAATTGAAATGAAGTCCTCCAGGGGAAAAGAACTAAAATTCTTCTGACTCATAAGAGGGTTACTTTTCCAAGAAGTGTTTTCTGACTGACCGTGGAAAGATTCAAGGTTTGCAAACTATATTATATTCCACAAGAATCACATTCCAGTAGGTGCTGCAAACGCATCAGAAATGTTAATAAAGCCTCTTAGTACTAAAATGCACTATGTTATTTCGACCTAGGACTTGGAGATACAAGCGGACATTAAAAAACACACTGTATTTTACTGCCTGATTATTCATTTGTTTATCAGAAAGAAATGATTCAGTATTGCTAAATCAAAACAGTCACACATTTACAAATGTAGTTTTAACAGTTGTGTGTTGTGCAACAGAAACAATGCAAAATCAGAGAGGATAATTAAAAGGCACCAGCAAAAAGTGATTTAAATTACTGTGTTTTGTTGTTAATTTACTGGAATTAAGGATGTCCTCAACATTCAACACTTCAGAGCTCTTGTTAAGGTGCTTCCAATCAAAGCCATAAGGTCTGCTCAGACATAGTACAGCCCTGACAAGCCAGGAACTTCTGATGCTGGAGCTTAGTATTGTTCATTCATTATATCATGAATACCCTGAATATGCAGTAGGTTTTTAACCTTCACAGGATTGAAAATAATTTTATGAAGTATCATTAGCTTGTCAGTAGATATGATTCAATTTCTCGACATGAGCTAATTAATAAATTTATTAGTACAACAGTCCTTATGTAGTCCAGTTATTATGAAACGCAGGATGATTCATCCAAGCATCTTTATTTACAAAATACAGTCATAAGATCTGTCTAGATTTTCTTGAGGGACTGGAGGACCACAAATAAAATGAAAAAAAAATTTTCAGATCAGCCATGTAGCTGACATTCACAAGCACAGAATAACTGACTTTTTTCTTGAGGGGGGAAGAAGAGAAGGCAAAATCGAATGGTTAATGACTCCATCTACAGGAATCTAGAGGTAAAAAGGCTACTGTTGTCTTTCCTATTCTCTCCATCTAGAAAAGGTCAACCCAATTCCCTCCGTGTTAGCTAATAGCACCCTTCAAGAAAAGGTAGCATGCTGAAAAAGCAAGAGATGGTAGTTCACAGTGCCCCAAGAAAAAAATAGCAGCTTTTTATGTCTACATTTCCCTGATTCTAGAAAATTGAATCATGATATTGTGGTCAACAAGATGTTAAACATCCAGTCACAAGGTCAAGCCCAACAGCTATAAAATATCTGAAAAAATTGTACACAAAATTTCAACACAAGACTTGTGTGCTGCACAGAATATTTTTTCCCACTGAGATTAGAAGGAAAGCATATGAAAAAATACGGTGTTGCACAGAATTATTTCAATTTCTGCATTACACTGAGGAACCCTGGCTATAAGTTTATGTTGTAACCACGAAAATATTGCAGTAAAATGGTAAAAAAAGAGAGAGATGAGCTCCAGTTTTTCAGTTCATATGTGGATTATAGTCCAGACTCTTGCTCAGCAAAAATAAATTTAATGAAATTTAAGTGAATACTTAAATAATTAATACATTTTCAACAGAAATGACCATGGACACATACTTACAGCTACCTTTGTTAACTTCCTGATACGAGGACTACATGCCAAATTTTTGTTGACATGAAGGTGAATTTCATTTCTCTGCAAATCTCTCCACGAGTTTAGATAACTGCCAACTTACTAAAGCTTACTAAAGCTTTATATACCATCCCAGAAATGGTCTGAATTAGGCCCGGGGCCCATTACAAGTCATCAGTGAATACAGTTACTTAAACTGACGTGTTGAAGTTGGCTGGTACCTGGTGAGCAACAAGCAGCCCATGGAGAAACTGCTCCCCCAGGTCTGCTTAGCACTACAGTCAACCAGCACTGACGAGAATGACTGGCAGGACTGAAGTTACGAATTGATATCAATTATGACACATACATCAAAGCAACAATCTTGAAAGACACTGAATTATTCCCAAAATTGCCTTTTCAAAGAAGCTGAGGCTATTCTAGATATATTAAAGGAATCTGCTTTGACAAGGCTTTTTCGTCTGAGACAGTAGTTAATTAAGAAGCAGATGCTATAACAGATGTTTCAGTAGTTACAATCATGTCTTATGACTTGCATTTTCCTAACATTGTATGTGCTGCGTTTTAACAAACTTATAAAATCCATTCTCTTTCTGCCTCATCCATGCAAAGAGTAAAAAAATGCGATCAGATCAAAACTCTCAGATTGTTTGCAAATGGCTATGCAAGCTGTAGACAGTGCAGAATCAGACATCTGTCTAATATTCAGATATACTTACACATTATTTTCTTAGTGCTTATTATTTAATTCTAATTTAAGCCCTGGCAAAATAGCATGAAATTCTGAGTAGAAAGCCTATAGATGTGGTAATAAAAAAGTGTAATCCAGTAATGCATTCTAGTGTTTTATTTTCAAATGAAAGGTATAGTTTATATGCTACTTACAATAAGCAGCTTTATTTGTAATCAGTCACTAAAACACTAATAAAATAAAATAATACTTAATTGGATTCCTTCTATTTTGTTTTAATCGTTGTTTAAAAGCTGTATTAATAATGAACCAAATTCTTCTCTAGCATAACTGGCCTCTGTAGATTCATACCAGCAGGAAAACCTAAATTAAAACATACTTTGTAGGCATTTTTGTGTTTTTAGGGCTTAATAAGTTAGAGAGCTTAGCGAAAGTAGATGATATAGTATAGCATAGGGCATAGAGCTTAGGGCATGGCGCTCGGAAGATCTCGCGATRTCACGGGAGTTAGGAGYRTAATTAATTTATGCAGTTTACTGATAACCCCATGCCATACAAGGCGAAAAGTAGAAATTAGTCTCCCGATTGGGCAGTAGGTGAGTTTCYGCATTCAGCTGGAGTATATAGGCAGACTGAACTGCGCAATAATCGCCATTTTGCCGCATCCCCCATAGTGATATCTGTGCTCCAGGGCCCTGGGGTGAGGACAACCCCAGGTCAGTCCAGCTAGCGAATGAGGCTTGCCGACCCCCGTCGGCAACAATACTTAATAACAGTGAGGAAAACCACAGCTCAGGAAAAGCTAACACCTAACCAGGAAACTTCTTCAACAGACTGAAGAAAGCCATTGTCTATTTGGATTGACATTGAAGATTCCAGGTTGACTGGAACCGCTGTTATATCTTATTTTCTTGGCTACATGTCATGCTCAACACTGTTTTTCTGTCCCAACTGGACTGGACTCACCACTTCCCACCTCACAGCACAGAAAGGCCACGGAGCCTCTGACCCCAGAGACCATCCATGGTGAGGTCCAGACCACGGCTGCTGCCGGGAATCTCTATGTCCGTGTTAGGATGCTCCTGCTTGGGACTGCAGGGCTTCCAGCTGGCTCACCTGGTTGTACAGGGCACAGATATGCAGCGCTGTGTTTCCCGACGCATTCTGCGCACCCATGTCGGCTCCGTAGAAGAGCAGGTGCTCCAGATGCTGGACGTGCCCATACCGACAGGCCTGGGAAGAGAGGCACTCATGCTTTTGATTACCATACAACCCAGCTGTACAGTGCAAGCATGACAGGTAAGCATTTTTAAACATAGAAGATTTTATTTTGCTTAGTACTTAATTTTTCAGGACCATCCCCAGATTGGATAGCAAGCCTAAAGCCAAGACCTGCCATAATTAATGTTCTTCAGATGCAGCGAGTTGTACACATAAGTACAGCATATACTTAAGTATTTGAGGAAGTTCAATGTAAAATATCAAGAAAACATAAAGTTTACAACTCTTCACCCATTAGTACTTGTAACTGTTAAAACTGTTTAATCTGACAAGTGAAATTGACAGAACACTAATTTTTTGGTCCTGAAAATTTGTGGAAAGTTGCCCACTAGATGGCATTGAAGATGAACAGATTTCTGAAGCCTGCTTTTTTAGGCGTGAAAACAGTTTGGGGAAAGCTGGTCCAAACAGTTCAAATAGATTGCATGGTGCCAGCAGAAGTACAGCATATATCTGCCATTTAATCAAATAGAAAACAATCATTTAGTTATACTGTCAGTCACCCAAATAAATTGTTAGAACTTGAATAGTTGGAAATAAACTTTGAAACAGTTGCAAATAAACCTTAATGAAGCAAGTCTGCTGAAACGTGAAACTTTCCCAAGATTAGCTAATAAATTTAGAGAAATACATTCAGAACTGTTTCCTTGCCATGTGACACAACGCTACCTTCTTCACACAAACAATGCCAGATGGGACTGTAGCACATCCCCATCTTTCACACTTCCCTGCAGAATGCTTATACCCTCAACTGTCGAGAACAGACTGCCCATAATCCAGATGTAAACTTTGGTGATTTAGTTAGGATCATAACCAGCAAAATGGTTTTTGGAAAGGTCAGTTTCATTAAGGGAAGTAATCAGCATAAGCATGTTAGGTTTAGTTTACAAAAGGAGTTTTTCTCTGTATTTTCAGAGACTTCAAAAATGATTTGATCAATACTGCAGTTAATTCTAATAGGATCAAAAGAATTCATGGCAGTAAAATCAACAAAATAGTTTATTAAATAGTTTATTTAAACTATTAAACTATTAAAAGCAAAATAAAAAACATTAGAATCTGAGTTTCCACGCACAAAGGCAATGCAAACTGATCTCAAACTGGGAATTTGTTCAACATCCCTCAGTAGAACATACTGAAGGATCTTAGCAGCAGGATCCTGAATCCAAATCTTGACTGTAAAGTTCAGCAGAGACAAAGGACACAGCACATCTGCCATAGAGACAAGAAGCATTACCAGGGAAACTAAAACTGGCTCTAACAAAAGGACCAAGTTGCACTTCTCCACCAGCATGCCCGTAAGAGAATGCTGAACTTCAGATTTCCAAGGGTCCGTTACATAAATCTATTCAGAGCTACAAATTCTACAGCAAAATCCATAGTAACTGTAGGATTTCACTGTTAGAAAACGCCACAGGAACACCTCTGACTTTTAATCTACCACAGTAGGACACAAAGTAATAAGCTAACAGAAAAACATACACTTTCCTACGTGTATGTGCACGGACTAAACATGTTCAAAAAGAAGCCTTTAAAACAGTATTTAGGAGTCGAATATATAAAGTATATTTTCAGTACCAATATTGTATAGGTAAAATAAATTTTCTCATACAGCTCCAACTGACAAAATGTGTTCATCACCTGATGGATTTCTTGCCATCCGTTTTCATCTTTGCAGCTGACCGTAGCGTGTTCATGAAGCAACAGCTCACAGCAGTAAGGATCCCCTCCCACGACCGCCGTGTGGTACAGCGGGGTCAGGCCACAACTGTCTTTATAGTTAGGAGATGCTCCAAGCTCTAAAAGGGTCTGAAAGCAATTAGAATGGGAAAAAATATATATATACACATTTTGGAGAGATTCCTAACTGAAGAGGAATTTCTCCAACTGAAAAAGTATTTACTAAGCTGGTATTTACCACTATTACATTTATTGCTTCATTACAGGCTGATCGAACGGACTGTGACACAGATGAAGTTAAGATATGACCTCATAAAAATGAGCATTTAAAGGAATCTACAGGTCTAGCAAGGAAAGGATGAATGATGATGTCTGACTTCCAGCTTTTCAGTTAAGGGAAGATTTATCAAAGACGTCATACAATTTGCAAATCTGTTGGAATGAAATATGAAAATGCCATAAACACAGGATTTAATCTCAAATATCAAAATGATTTAGAATCACCAATTAGAAAATACAGAAAAGACCACGTTAAGATACAATGTGTAATCCATGCTATTGGAATTTGCTTTGAAAGACAGATAAACAACAATAATGCTATTCCAGTTTCCTCAGAAAATTCTACCCCAATCTATCAATAAATAAGATTAAATTTCACCACTCTTTCTTCCTACCAAAAGAGCCAGCTTCAGAAACAAAAAGGCCATTTGTCTAAAGCAAATCCTATGAGTCGAGAGACACAGAAAAAGCACTAGAACACATATATATTTGAGGATCCAGTGGGGACAATAGGACAATTGAATGAAGGCATTTTTCTCTACGTATTTTTCTGTATAAAATAACATATAATCTGCTACTGAAAGTATTTACCTTGAGGGTTACTTGGTTCTTGGCTCGAGCTGCTTTGTGCAGAGCTGTCATTCCATCTTTGGCTCTGAAGTCTAAATGTGCTCCTCCGTTTTTCAGAGCTTTTATCACTTCTACAGTATTGTCAAGCTGAACTGCCAAAGTTAACGGAGTTTCTAAAGAAGAGAAAACCACACACACAGAAGAGATGAGTAAATTTATAAAATAAAGATCCTTTGCTTTACGAGCTTTAAAAAAGTGTTATATTAATATACTGCTTGAAGAAAATCCTAAGTTATCAATTTGTCCCCTTGAAAGGCAATCCCCTTGAAAATCATGCAGATTCCATTACCGTAAAGGTAGCAGAAAGAATAGGTGAGATTTAATCTCTTACATCACTTTATCTTGAAAAAAAACAAGATATTACTATTCTGCAAGTTTTATTGTTCTGACCTCCACTTTCTAGGTCATGATAGTTGGGGTCCAGTCCTCGGTCTAACATCTTTGTGATTTTTTCCACTGAGAGATGATGGACATGATCCATAAATTTTTTCAAATTAGCCTGAAACAAGGAGTGACAAATGAATTACCTTGTGATTGTAAAAAGACATTTTTGACTAAACATGAAATCTTCTGTCAGTTTGTATCTACTGATACTGATACTGATCACTGAACAATGCTAATTTATATTCCTGGAGAGTGTGACTTTCCAGGGAGAGCACAAACCCTAGAGTTTACAACATTCAAAAAGCAAACACAGTAAGAAGATTCTGTTGTTTCCAGCTTGAAGGAAAAATGACTGAAGTATTCAGTCAGTATGAAATCAGGATCATATAAGTAATAATGGATCGTATTCATTATTCATTATTATTCTAACCTGCAAACATTCCTAATGACAGAGCTGAGCATTTTTGCAGCATGTTGAAAATGTTATGTTTATGTAATAAAGCTCATTTAAAATTTCTCGTATACATATGGAGGAGTCAAATAGGGATACTTTTCTAGGACAGTAATTCACATATCCCTGTTGGCCAAGGGAGCACATGCTGTTTGTCTTTTAGCAATCAGCCCATGTGGTAGATAGTGAAATCCTCCTCACTGCCCATTTCCCAGGCATGCCACTTAAAGCAGGCAATGGTCAACTTCCCCATAAATTGTGCATACCTTGGTATGAAGCTTAGCCAGCTGTTTCTCATCAAGACTGAACTGTTTGTACACTCTCTTCTTGTACCGAAACTGACAAGGAAACAAAGAGAAAAAAATCATGTGTTTTATTTTTAAAATAACTTTTTAAAAAGTCTCATATCCCATCAGAATGCATCACCCATTAACGATGCTGTAGATTTTGTCGACACTCAGAATGAAGAAAAAAAAATAAAAAGCTCCACATTTCATTTGGAATGTGTACTGATATTTTGCATTATGCTTAACATAGCACCATTAAACTTTTACAGTTCATGTAAGCAAAATTCTTATCTTGCTCAAGTGTACTGAGCTCAGTGGAGCTGTAGGGGAAACGAGTTCAGCCTCTAGAATCTACCAAATAAGAATTACTGTGAGAAGAGCTTTTCCCTAGGGGTATGCCTGCACTTTCATTTCTAGTCTCAAACAGAAAGAACTAGAAAGGCATTTTAAATATATATAAAAAAAAAAAAAAAAAAAAAAAGGAACTTCAAAATATCAGCTTAGCATGTCTGAAACTCAAAGGAGAGCAAGGAGGGCAGGATCCTTGAAAAGTGTCTTAATCCACATAAGCAGAATTTAGAGGTGGATATAGCTCTCCTCTAGATTTAACAAAACCCGCCCTGTACATGAGGATCCTAGAGCTACCCCTTTTTTGGCTGAAACTCATGTGACATTTTATGCTGAGCAGCTTGCCATCCCCCTACTGCTAAAATGAAAAGATCCATGAAGAAATCATGGGCTTTCCGGGGTTATAACTCACTATTATCCATATATTATATATATTATTATTTGCAGCTGGTCAGAAAGCCGAAGGCTCTTCCTCGACTGCCCAGCTTTGATGCAGCAGCAACTCTGCCACATGCACAGGGAGCAGCTGGCAAGGGGAGCACTTTTGGTATGTCTCAGGATAAGGCCTTCTAATTCACCATCAGCCCATCATTTTTATAATGACACAAGAAAATGAAAAACATCTTAAAATTCTGCACTTATTCTCTTTTAAAGCATTTGCTTTTACAGTACTCTTGTTTCACAAAGAATGCACTGTAGTCATGAACACGCTTGAGTTTTGTCTCAGCTAGTAATTAGAGGTTATGAACAAAGCCAAAAATAAACCTTTCTTTACTAGGCAGAATGCAAAGAATGCAACACATAGGATGGATAAGGATATGGCATTGCATGGGGCTTTAGTATCAGCTTTTCAGCAGAACACTTTTAACCCTTGAATTGCAATCCTTTTGCAGCAATGCATTTTGCTAGCCAGCAGCGAGCACCAGAGAAACACAATTCTGTAACAAATGTGACACAAAAAAGTAAGGTGGTGATTTGCTCTTGGTTCTAATATGGGCACCAGTGACCCTCAGAAATAATCCACTGCAAACGCTAGGACTCAAAACTTTCTCTTGACCCTATTTTTTATTAGTTTGATCTTTGTTACACCAGGGTAAGTCTATTAACTGCAGGTTATTCCTGGGTGATGCACCACCATAAAACCAATTTAAAAAAAATACTGATTAATTTTTAATTTTTTTTTTTATTTTATTTCACACCGACACACTGTCTCTCTCCCCTTATTCTTTTCCTAGGAGACCATCACAGATGGAAAGGTGCGGCTTAGCTAAGACCATTTGGCTAAGATCATTTTTTAGGATGGATGTATAGATAGCCATTTCTACCCCTACTCCTGTAAATCAAGTCAGGGCCCCAAAAGCTCTGTTTAGAACAGTTCTGTAATAAATCACTGAATGTCCTCCTGAGATATGCCCTTGAGCAGAGGAAAACCCTAAAACACCATTTCCTGGAGGGTCCAATTCGTTGCAGCCTTTACAGGAATAACACACAGAATAACTCCAAGCAAAAACCAGTTGTGAGCAAGGCTTCAAGTTCAAAGCCTGATCTGATCTGCTGTCAGATCACTGCTCCCCCATGCAACTCCCGGACATGCAGAAGACTTAAATACAGCTTACAATATAGTTTGCATCAAAAGAATATAGATGTTTCAGACAGTAGAGCTAAAGATACCTCTAAGGAAGGAACTCCCTTATTCACCGGCTGTGGGTATTCCCTAAGAAGTCGTTCCTCATCCAAAAATTTTCCATCTCTACCATTGCTTGCAGGCTGGAACAGTCCATAATTTAAGACATCTTTTAAACTCTGATTCAAAGTGCACAAAATCCGTTGCTTTGCAACCCATACTGAAGCTTCAGGGTTAAATCTAATGCATTTCTGCAAAGAGAAATGATAAAAAAATGTATAACAATGAAAAACATTGAAACAGTATCTTACATTTTAAAATTCACAAATTTAGTATGCATATAATAAATCTACATATTACAAGAGAACCATGTATCAACAAAATTACATTTCAGACACTTATTCCTCTATAGAAGCTAGTGTACAAGTTCTATGGAAAAAGGATATTTCCAGTCCTTCTGCAGGGATCAGGGAGCATCCTTGCTCAGAGACAGCAGCCTTTATGCTAAACCTCTTAGAAAAGCCAAGTGAAAGGCAGGTTACGAGATGTGTATGTAGATTTTTGATTTGAGGCTGTTCTGATGACAAGCGTGACCTGCAACAGCTCCACAAAATAGGTACTCAGGGAAGAGCTTTAACTCAATCAAAGCTATCCTAAGGAATAGGATAATTTTAGGAAAGGAACTATGATGTTGAAAGCCTAGAAAATTCCTTCCAGCCCAGTGTTGATGACATGATGACATATGATCAACAGTGAAAAGCTATTTCTACAACCAAATTCTTAAGGATGTGAAGGACTTTTAAAAGCAGTTGCAATTTGACTGACTGACCACTGCGGTCAACCCGTCCTACGCACACATCTGCTTCCTTAGAACACGGTCAACTAGAAAGGTTTGGATAACTTGGTATATTTAAGCTGAGGAGTCTGGCTGTGTTTCTGTGAATTAACCCTCAGATAAGAGTATTATCAGTCAGCCTGATAATGAGATACTCATTGCTGTTACCTACCGGGAAACCACACCAGCTGCCGTGGTATCATCTCATGAAGGTTTTTACTGAATAAGTATGGTAGGCTCATGAAGAGGCCAATGGTCCTGTCCAGCTCTGCTAGGTCTGGGCATGAATTATTAGAAATGCAACTCAGTTTGCCTTTCACACGTCCCTGCAGCTTGTCAGATACTGATGTGAATTTATTTAGGGATGTGCAAAGGAAGAGGGAGAGCAAAAGGCAAAAGCAGCTGGGGATACTAGAAAATAAAAGCAGAGATCATGGCTGTGAGTTCTCCAAAATACCCTGCTTCCTATTTTGCTACAGGTCCCTTTCCTCATCAGGTGCTTTAATTCAGCACAATAGAAAGTGCTTACACTGGGCATATCTAAGCTAACCCACTTCTATCATATATGGAAATATTTTGTTTGTTGTTTCTTCATAATCAAGGTTCCTACTACCTAGAGCAATGCAAAAGAAAAAAAATCGTAATTTAAGTCATAAAATTCCTTAAACCATTATTCTGTATGATGAAATGTAACGGCTCACATATCTTTTTCCCTTGTGATTTCTTGGTGAATAAATTGTGAATATTTGTAGTACCAGCTTTTACAATGTGACATGTTATGTTCTCAGCTTGAAGTCAGAAAAGTTATAATAATCTGTATTTTATGTTCCTTTACTTATAAAAATTGTCAAATTGATTTTTCTTTTACAAAGTTTCCCACGTAAAGGTACTCTCTAAATTCTGCCATGTAATACAAAATAAGGAACACAAAGCAGCTTTTTATTAAAATAGATTCTAAAAGCCCTTTTTTTTTTTTTTTCTTCCCTCTTTTCCCCCCTCCTTCAATAAAATGCTTTTATTTGCTTTCAAGTGCCAGGCCATTTCCTAATCTGCAATTACTCCTCTCCTCCACAGGCATCCCTCCAAAATAAGCCACAGTGGCACTTTGTCTATGTGGCTACAAACTGTCCCACCCGATGCTCTTTTCTTTGCTGGCCAGTCTTTGATGACCTTTCTAGCACTAGGTCCATATCTAATGGCTACCTTCAAATTCCACATTCTTCTGGCAGCTTTTTCTGTAGTTGTAATTGAGGGGCACTGCCTTGCCCATCAGAACACAATTATACCACACGCTGCAGCATGACAAAATCCTGCCCTTGCTTCCATACTTAAAACTCCAGAGGAGGCTCCAGACTTGCCTGCAGAGGGACATAAGGGTTCACACAACCCAAACCAGAGCAAACCTCCTGAGGATCAGGGATGAGTGCCCACAGCAACCACACAACTGCTCCTCTGGAGCTGGACTTCTTTTTCCACATGTCAGCTAGTATAAACGGAACAAAAGCCAAAAAGTCTGAGACCAAAGTTTAATCTCATGACAAAAGTCAAGCTTGACATGTATCCTGAATTAAGGTCATTCTTCACTGGAATCCCTTGGTAGCCCATCTGCAAGGGGGCCATATTTGCATTCTTGAGCACTCATCCCTTCCTCAGGTTCATTTATTTGTTCAACCAAACAGTGTAAGTCAAGGCAAGGGAAGATACTCTCCTCCTAAGTGCAACATCTCCATAAGTGTGGCCACCACAGGAAAATAAGACAGGAGCTGAGCCAAGCAAAGCTAGACAACTTTTTGCAGCAGGATGCCTTCAATGAGTCATTAATAAAATCAAAAACAGATCTCATTTTCTGACAAAGAATTAAATAAATACACAGGAAACATGAATTAAAATGTATCTGAAAATTATAGCTGTGATATCTATTTCACCTTTCATTCCACCAAGCATAGACAAAATGTGATCGCTTGCTTTTAAGGTCAGCTACCTAAACTATGAAAAAAAAAAAAAAATCTATTGCATGCTGTAAAGTGAGAACTAGATTTTAAGTATGGATCAATAAAAAAAACTATCAATGACAGTCTTGCACTCCCAGGCACTGGTAAAAGTTGCTAAGTGTAACAATACCACTGTAAGCGAAGGAAAAATACAACTCTCATACTCCAGCTAAAGGGAAGATATTAATTCAATAGGAATAATGTTCACGACACAGAATCTCTGAGGAATAGCATTTATGCATTCAAAACCTATCAACCAACACATCTTTTTCATCAGGCTCATGAAGATGTCAATCACACAGAACTGCGCTGTGACAGAGGGATCATTGACAAAAGGCTCACACAAATGCTTCTAAAACGTGACCATCAGAACACCAAAATACAAGTGATCTCTGATCTCTTTTGATAGAAGATATCAGTATCAAAGTTGTGACAAAGGAGAAGTGGAAAATGCAGATGAAGTTAGGTATTATCAAAGGGGGAAAAAAAAAGAGGCAAGGTGTTCATTTTGAGTTGTGCTTGGTATTCATCTAAATTCATGGAGGTGCTGCTTTCCTTCATCAAAACATGCAGAAAACTCATAATACATTAAATGACAGGTGTCAGCCTGGCCACTGCAATCTTCAGGCAAGCCAGATCACCCATCCAAGTGCAGGGCAAAAGAGATGTCATGAGCACTCACAGCTTCCAGCATCAAACTGGAGATACAGAGAAGGAAGATGCCACAGTGCAGCCCAGGCAATCAGTCACACAGCTGGACACACAAGCACACACCTGCAGGATGCTCAAAAGGAGCCCCTTTTGATCTGGGGCAGCAGAGACAGCACAGACTGGAAACAGGCAAAAACGGGGGTTTCCTACACTAGCATGGGATTCAAGCTGCAGTCAAGACAATGAGCTTAGTACCTTCATAGAACAAAGACTGTGTGACCTAAAAGAGTGCCTTATGTAGGTAAGAAAACATGGAAAGGAAAAGATTCCGAATCCCTAAGGCCCATGAATACTGTAAAAATCAAGGTATAATAGAAGATACAAAAGCATATATGACAAGCAGTAAATTATAATTGAGAAGTATTTAAAACTTAAGTTACTGTTTTGTCAATTGTCAGCTATCAAGCAAGAGCTTTCAGTCTTGGAAATTCCAACGTTAAAACCCGCCAAAAATGGTAAGAAAATGTTCACAACTGAAGTGGAGCAGTAAAACAGATGGGCGGAAAGCATTTCAAAATCCTCAACAGACCCAATGCTAGCTCAACATCAGAATTAAATAAAACATGTGAATCTGAACACTTTGATTTGAAACATACCCCAGAGGGAGCGCCTAGGCACAGGACAAAGCAAAGGAGCAAAGCACCATCCATGTTCTGATAACAAAATCCTAAAAACATTCCAAATAAAAGTCACCCGGCAGATCTGTTCATGAAGGATAGCACTTAGAGAGCTCCTCTAAACATAGAAAATGTAAAAACACTGTAAGAACATCATGAAAAGGATATTTTCTTAGCAAGGGCTACTGGAGAAGAATCACACTACTAGCGGTTAAAGACTCATAATATGTTACTACAAATTTGTTGGTTCTCCCTCAAAATTTACGATTGTATTTTGCCTATCCTGCTGAGAAACCTTGAACCACCTTGGAGCACACTTCTGCTCCACCAGCCACCAACTCCTTGTCATTGTTGCAGGATTGGGGAATCTTTTGAGATCTTTTTGAGGCACCTCCTGAAGCACAAGATGCAAAGTCATACATCCCACTAGAGGAATCAAGCAACACACCTACAACTTTCAAACATGAAGGACAAAAGTTATCTTTGCCAAAAGAGAGGATAAATTTGATACTGCAATTTAACAGTAATAAGGGCCATTGCCAAGTCCAAGGCCTCTGTATCAGGTACAGTAAGAATCTTCTGCTTTTCAAATATTGTCCTGTGCTAAGGATGACACCTAGCTGAATGCGAGTGGTAAATGAAGACACTGGAAAATGACTCTTTTCACATTAAATACATAGCGTTTTGGTATGCTTGGCTATCATCTCAATTAAAAAGGAGACAAAAAAAAACAACAAAAAAAACCCACAGAAACTGAAAAATAAGTCTTCATATCAGTTTAACTAGGCATATAATACTTAAGCTATTGCAACTGATCAACATATTTAAAGTTTCAAATCAAAGTTAAAGTACAATAAGTCAATTTTCCTACAATAAGTGATACTTTACTAAGTCTTCTATTGCATCACATGCTACTCTATGATAGGGGTATATATACATTTTATATATACAATGAAATAAAGGTGATTTGAACCACAGGTACTATAGATGAGCAAACTTCTCTCTCAGTGAGCATTTAACTTCACAGAGAGTTTAGTTAATTTACTAATTTGCCTTCTTTTAAACTAAAATATTCTTGAACAGAATTCCTAAAAACAATAAAGAATTAAAATGTAAAACTAATTTGATGCAATTTCATTCTCCTTTGATTAAACAGTCTAAATTTAAAAGAACCTTTAATTATTTATAATTATACAGCAAATGGGGTGTATGTAGGCTTTGGCTTGTAGCTGTTACAGCTCATGAACTATGGTCTTCTAGTTTTGCTACCCTTCACTTAATCTATCAGTCTTCCCTTTTGTAAAATGGAATCTAGATTTCACCTTTTTTTTTTTTGCACAAGAGCTTGAGAATGATCAATTAAATCAAAAATAGATTCTCTTGCACAGAGCCATTATGAACAACTGAGTTACTTTTCATTAAGACCTTATTGAAAAGGGGAAAAAAAATAAAGCAACTAAAATGAACAAATGAAACCCAAATCTTAAAATATATGTTTTTTATCATTCCCTGCAGAAAATGAATTTTCATAATATAATTGCTTCCAGAAGAAATCAAGAAATGAGATGAGGCCTTCTGGAAGCTCTCTCTCCATTTTTAATAGTAGAAAAAAATTTGCATGTAAAACTCATCCTTCTGTTTCCTTGGGTCTGTGAACAGCGAACACAGTCAAAGATGCAGCAGGCTGCTGTGATCTTCAGAAACACCCTAACCATGTCAAGGCAGACGCTGTCTTGACAGAGGACTTCACTTGAGGCAAAATGCTTCCAAATTCAAGACGTACAACAGTGCTCCTTTCAGTCAGTGTTGAAATATCATCACCCAACGTGATGATTGCTTCAGCCCAAACCTAATAACGTCCCATGCATGGCCCACAGTAACCACCCTCCTGCCCTGCCATTTTAAGGCCTCCTGTCTATGTCAGGTCCCAAAACATCTATTCCTCATACCACACGAACAAACAGAACACCACTATAATTCCAGCAGGAACAGCTTCAAGCCTCATCTCAATGAATTTTTAAATATGAGAATTGGAAAGATCATACTCGCAGCTCCAGCACAGATATCTTGATTTCTGCAACACCATGCAAATTCAGCTTTAAAAAAATAAGAGCTCTACAACCACACCTGAGGGCACGCTGTCAAAGCAGCTCCTTCCTGTCAGCCTTTAGACAGGCCATCTCTATCACTCTAGAAATGAACTTAATTAAAAAGAAAGGAAGACTTTCAGCTGAAATAGACCTTCAATGGCAGCATGGCATGATGTAGATGTGAAATGGCAGCACAAAGGGATGCAGCACACATCCACACACAGAATGGGGTTTTATAACGACTACCATCAACCGCAAGTCCAGACAGCAGCAATCAAAAGCCCAGCCTAATTCAGATAATTAATCATAAACTTAGATAATCTGAGTTTTAGATATTAGTAAATAATTCCCAAGACCTTCTACAGAATGCCAATGTTCCTGTTGCAACATTTGTAGAGGACAATGATTCTTTCACTAAAAAAATACAAAAATAACCTTTTTCAACTCTGTTCTCTTGATGATGTCTATAATTTAGGGAGTCAGTCTGATGTCCAACTGAGGTAAAAAATGCAAAATTCATGTCCTGTGTTCCTTTAGTGTTTAACTTTGTTAAGTAAGAATATAGGGCAGATTGGTTGAAACCAGCAACGTTTACCCTTTTAAGACTATTTTTATGCTAATTAAAATTTTAATGGTCATTAAAACAGAAAAGCTCATCCTCATAGACTTTATTTTTCCAAGGCAATATCACTTACTGTTTGCTGTAGATCAGGTATTATGATTCGAATCACTAATGTATTGCTCTGACTGTCTTCCATTCTGCTGCTCGGCCTTTCTGCAGTAGCTCTAATTGTATCATAAATAGTTTCCTCTTTGGAGCTGTCCGATTCAGATTCCACAGAATAGTCTGAGAAGCTCTGGGCCATTTCATCTTCACTTGATGTTGGGCTTCGAGGCATGTTCAAGTCCTTTACCCTACCAATACAAAACAGAGATAAATTACTGATGAAGTTTTTAAAAGGAATTACCTAAAAGTTTTGTTTGTCTTTGTAGAAATAACATGCATTTAACAATGAAGTCATAAGTTTTGTCTTCCTCATATTTCCTCCTGTCATTTGCAGAGTAGACATGGTGTAATGGAAATAAATCTGCCTAGCAAAAGTTATTAACAGAAGAGAGGCAAGAGAAGTAAAAAGAAGAGAAAAAAAAAGGAAAGTCGGCCTTTTTTTTTCCAGGCACACCCAACCTTTCAAAGGATCCCAAAAAAAAGGCACAGCATAATTACCAGGTTCTCTCCTAAATAGCACTGTCATAAACTGTACTTAGCACTCGATCCGTCTTTGAAGGGTTCTTCTCCCAGGAAAAAAAAACAAACAAACAAACAAAAAAAAAAAAAAAAAAAAAAAAACACTAACAAAATATACACAAAACCACACTTAAAGAGATTCATATACATAAATTAACATAATTCTGTACATTAAGAAACTGTATAGATAAGGCTTCAACAAAAAACAGTATTTTTATATTGCAGAGTCAACAAAAAAAAGTACTATAGGCTGCTAGACAGATGTAGATGCTTCCTCTGAGGTTTGTGGGGTTTGTGATATAATATCCTTTAGCATTGCCATTACTGAAAAGTTAAATATAGATTTTAGATTTTTTTTTTAAATCTATGGTATAGATTAGGCTAAAAATACAGTCATCTTTACTTCCAAAGTAAGGACATATGAGTTCAGATGTACACTGTGTCGTATGAGATCTCAGAGTAAAAATGGTAAAACACTTTCCTTTTTTTTTTTTTTTTTTTTTCCCCCCTCAACTAAAAAGCAAAGACTGGTCTCACAAATTAAAAGATTCTCCAAGGATAGTATTTTTTGTTAAAAAAAAAAAAAAAAAAAAAAAGAGAGAGATTAAGAGATTCCATATTGAAAAAATTAAAAGGAGTGCCATAAAGTGATGCACTTTCCATGCTTTGTAACAAAGTACATTTTCATTTTTAGAAGCCAGAAAAAGGTTAAAATGACTTTTTAAATTTTCAATGGAAAATCAAAACCTTCCAAAAGGAAGTCTCTGCTTTCTAATAAAGAAAAAAAACGTTCCCACAGGGAAAAGGAAAAAAAACAGCAAATTTCACTATCAGCCTACATCAAAAAGATTTTAAAGCAGAATTAAAGTAGAGAAGAATGTACTGACTTTGCCAAGGTTGTTCATATGCCAGATGACTGCATTGACTTCTCTCAAAATGTTTTTTGCATGATTGTCTCACAATTGCAATCCCATATATTCCAACAAAAGCAGGAATCAACACAACACCATTTAGCACCGTTTCACAATTCAGTTTGAGCCAAATAAATATCACACCAAGATTACTCCTTGTCCGGTCTTTTATACCAAAATGGTTAGAAAAACAGGCACAAAAGGCTCTAATTGTAATTCAGCATTTTAATGGGCCTATGTGTTGCAGCCAGCTTCTGCACCAGAGGACAGTCAGTGGCTTCCAATGGGAGAAGGTCAAAGGCAAGCGCTTCCTATCATCAAATCTTACTGTTACTTCTGACAAAGGGCAAATTCCCTTTGTTAGCCAACCTTAGGCTTCAATGCTATTACTCTCAGCTATAATTACTAATGAAGACAAAATCAGTGCATTAAAAAATCAGAGCATGCCAGTTCACAGCAGCCTAATGCGAGACTTTATTTACAAAAGAAAACTCTTGAGGGAGTATTTCATTTTCTTACTGCTTCACTGAACTGTATATTAATGCGGCTCCCTGGAGCACCTGAAGTCAAAAAAAAAAGCATAAACATTTCAACGGCTTCCTAATTTATCTACTAATACTAAAACATGAAGCCCAAACATTGTAGGTCAAGACACAGTATTTAAGAGCAAAGACGGTGCTGGCTAGCGGATGCAAAGGAAAGGACATGAAGAACATCACACACTTTGCCTCTCCCTAAAGCCATCGGAGAGAGCAGTTCCAGGGCAATAGATCTAAATCCTCTAACAGAGAGCACTAAACTGCAATTATAGAGCATACAAATAAAGAGCTGAATTAAAAAAAAAAAAAATTCAAAGATTTGGCAAGTAAGTTCTCTAGCAGAAAACTTTAGACCTTAAAATATCTTCCTGTGGATAATCAAGTGAATGACTCACAGGTATCAATCATCTAAGTGTTATAAATGATAGGACAAGGAATCCCCTGAGGAAGTTCAACAAGGCAAACATCACCTAATTCTCTGGAATACAGACAGCAAGACGGACAAATAACTGCAGAAAAGATAATGAAAGGCTATACCTACAATTAAAAAAAAAAAAAAGAACCCACACATATGCACACACAACTGTGCCCCACTGCTGCTATCTCAGAAATAGATCATTTAAATAGATATAAGGATGGGGTTTTTTGTCTGTCTGTTTTGAGCAAGACGATCTAACCACTGGGGAAACCAAATCATCATTCATCCTATTGTACAAGGATCCTACTAGGGAGCGTGGTTCAAGTTTGCCCCCTCAGGCTGCAGAGACCTTAGGGCAATTCTGTTGTTTGGCTGTTAAACTGCATGGGAATGGCAGATGCTGCCATTTGTTAACAGGAGATGCTTGATACTACAGCTTCCACGGAGAAGTTATATTTTAACCAGATGCTCTGGGTTTACTTCAGTTATATTCCAAAGACTGTTCCATAATCAATACTAATTGATGAAAATGAAAGCAGGTTGCCTGAATGACCGTGATCCTACAGCTGATAGCTGGCAGAAGGAAATACAGCACTACAGGCAAAACCAAGCACAGAGACACAAAAACCTACATAAAAACATCTGCCTTGTATAATGTCCCCTCTTCATTGTACTCTGTACCAGACTGGGCAAACATCACACAGATGCGTTTGCCCATTTTTCAGGGATCAAGCCCAAGAGTGATGTGTCCTAAAAGCTAACAGTAAAGCGCACAGAGATCCTGCTCCCCTGGAGCCTTTCCCAGATCTTTTCTCTGGAGAAGGTGGGTAGCAGCAAGGAGGCTCCATCACGATCCCATGGCCACCTCCGCACCGGGCACTGCAGCTGTATCAAACCCTCCCCTTGCAATGGGAAAGTCTAACTTATGGAGAGGCTGAACTTTCATACAGAAATTGCTATAAAGAGCATTTAAGGATCGCATACTTTCTTCATTCCTTGGCCAGGGGAGGTTTTGTTTTTGCTGCCATGTGAACATGGGCCCAGAGGTCACATGAACGCCTATTCCAGACTAATCAAAGCAGTTAATCACCCCCTCAGCGCGTTTCCTCTCGCTCACACGCAGTTGGAGCACACACAAAACGTCCCATCCAAGGCCAGCGGGGCTAGACCCCCGTGCAAGGTTTCAGATGCACGGGTCACTGCCTCCTGGTCCCGGTAAGAACAATGTATTTTTACACAAACAGACATTTACACAATAAGGGCCCTGTTGTTGCCGGAGAGAGCAGGCCTGTGTGCCGCGGCCGCGGGGCGAGTTAAACCCCTACCTGTGGGAATTGCGGGCACAGAGGCGGCTTTGTGCCGGGCGGGCACCGCCAGCGCCGCACTCGGAGACGAGGCTGGAACTGCTGGGCAGAGCTCCTTCAGCAGCAGCTTCCAAGAAAAGCTGTTCAGGGAAGGGATTTTGCTTTGTGCAAGACTCGCCGGAAGCACCAGCAGTCAGATTCTCCATCTTTATTCTGGATTTTACGTATCCGCTCAAGAATAGGCTCTCCATGCTACTAAATTTAAATTCTGGAGAAGCTCAAGCATTACTTCTCCAAAAACACCAACATTAAAGCATCATTTCAGATGGTATCTAAGACAACATAATGGGGGCACAATTCCCTTTGTGTGTGTTTCACACCTCCCTACGATGACACAGAGGATACGTGTAGCAGGAAATGTGAACAGAAGACTCACTCCTGCAGATAATTTGATATTTGATGAATCAAAGTCACCCTTAGACCACCCAAAGTCTACCTGAAAGCTGCCCTTATCCAGCAGTGCCTCCAAGAGAAGCATCCTGCCCTCCCTTGCACCACTGACCGCTTGGTCCCTGTCCCAAACCTGCTTCAGCTGTTGCACTAACGCACACAGTGCAGCAGAGCAAGGACCTGAACCAGGTTACTGAGCACCTTTGCCCTTTGGGTGGGTTACTTTTGGCATCTCTCACTCTCCGAATCAGACAACTACATGAATGTTTGCCTAGGCAGAGGGTAGGGGGAATCTGAGACCACAGCCCAGCTGACGGGAGAGAAATCTATATAGCTTTGCCAGTCTGATAAACTCCAGTTAAAAGGTACTAATTACCACACAAACATGCTGTAGTGCAGAAGAAACCAGTTTGCCAATGCCTACTGTTAGAAAGCACATACAGGAAAATAGAAAAAAATGTAAGAGAAGATCTGCAAGAAGCAGAAAAAGAACTCACTCCCTGCCTCCTGCATTAAACAACTCACAACAAAACCTGGTACTAAGAAATGACAGTCTCTGGTCCTGTTTCATCTAGGAGTACAGATGTGGCTGAAAAAAAAATAAAGAAACAGAGCATGTTTAAAGTATCAAGGTTTTTGGAAAGTCTGTCTATTGTCCTGCTCTTCCCCTTGATCAACCTCTGATCAACTGCAACTGCTGATACTTGATTTTTCTGTAATGCACTTTTATTCTTAGGAGAAAGTGCTAAATAACTAGATCACTTTTACAAAATTTAGAAGAAATTTCCCTTCATGGTAGCCACCTAAAAATTTCAGTCAGACAGTCTTTTACTGTTTATGCCCCCTAAGCGTGTTTTCTTCCTTATATGCCACCTCTTCACTTTAATTCTCTGTGGCCATATCATCTGGTAATGCATTTTTGATCTCCATGTTAAATAACTGCAACACCCAAATAAGTATTTTAGGAAATACTTATTCCTCAGCACACATACCTTTTAACATACTAGAATGCCAAGTGAAATTCCTCCCTTACTTTTTCCTTA